CACACCGCCCGCCGCGGGGCCGCCCGGCATGGAGGGGAGCTCCAGCTGCGAGAGCCTGGGCGCCGGGCGGGCGGCGGCGGCGCGGCCGCCCAGCGGCGACTCCCTGTCCAGGTACCGCCCGCCGCAGAGCCATCGCCCCCGCCCGCGGGGCTCGGCGGCCGGGGACCGCCGCGGGGCGTGGGAGCTGAGGGAGGGAGCGGGGAGGGGCCGCCAGGAGAAGGGAAACCGAAGGGATGGAACTGGTGCTGTTTGCTCCCTCCGTGGGCAGGAGGCTTCTGCTGGGGTGTACCTGCGCTGGGAGTGGCCGTGGGGTGACGGAGCAGGAAGGCAGGCGTGGGCTCTGCTTGGCTGTGGCACAGCCGCTCTCTCTTTCAGGCCTTCAAGCAGAGCAGGAGATGCTACCTCCACCAGGCTCTCGGTAAATCCCTGCATAGGCAGAGCAGTGTCCCTGGCCGTGGCTTTGGGAGGTGTGCAGCACAGGTGAGCGGTGCTGGAAGGGCAGGGCAGGCGTGGCATCCCCTTGGCAGCTGCCTTTCAGCACGCTGCCGTGCCCACGCCAGGCCTTGTCCTCTGCAGGAGCAAATTTCCTGTGGCGTGTTGAGCCTCTGGTTTTTTTTGCCGTCATGGTTCTTTCTGAGAGCTTGACTTTGCGGTATGAGTGGCTTGTAATGCCATGTGGGTAATATTCAAGGTCCTTAAGCGACAGAAACTGAAAGGAAACTTTTGTGTTCTTCCCACTGTCCGTGAGCTACCAGTGAAATTTGAATTTAGTGACTGAAAGCACATCCTGCTTGGGCATTGTGTTTGATGGAGAAGGTTGCAGTAGGGTAGCAAGGGTAGGCTCTGAGAGACTGATAGGGCTGGTGGTGTGGGAGCCCTGGTGTTGTGGTAGAGCCCGGGAGCAGGATATCCTGATGGCTGCTGAAAGTTGTTCTGTCTTGTTCTTGCTGCCTTTGCCATGCCCAGTTTGTAGGATCACTGGATAACTCAGGATGAAGAGATCTCAGCATCCCTGCGTCCAGATTCCCACTCATCCCAGAGACAGCTTTAAGATCAGATCAGGCTACTTCTGGCTTTTACCCAGTTTGGTCTTGAAAACCTACAAAGATGAAGTGCACACAGACTCTCTGGACATCCCATTGGCATCTCCTGTGTATGTTCCACTGGCACTGTGGGCACTGGGACTGCCTTTTTGGTCCCCCTAAAGCAGTCTCTCCCCAGTCTCTCCACACAGGCAGGGTGCTCCAGCCCTGCTCTCCCAGTGGTGCTTCCCTGTACTCCCTCTAGCTCCCTAGTGACTTTCCTGCACTGTGAGGCTAATACCTGGATGAAGTAGTCCAGAAATGCTCTACTGAAAGCTGAGCAGAGGGGGATCCTTCCCTGGATCTCCTGGCTCTGCCTCTGTTCTTAAAGCCCAAGATGCTGGTGGCCACTTTGTTGCCAGCATCTCAAAACTCCCATGCTTGGCCATTACCCGGCTGCTCCTCAGACAGGCAACGCCCAGTTTTGCGCTTGGATTTCCTCATTCTTGAGTCCTTCATGACTCCTGACCCTCATTTCACCTTTCTTCATCAAATTCTTCTGTTTCCTGCTCTCTGTACTGGTTTCCTTGTGCAGTTCTACCAGTGCCCTGCCAGAACCTGCAGGCTTCTTTCCCCCTTACCTAACTGACCTAGTATATTCTTCTTTTTATCTCTGCATCAGCTCAGGCAACTTGGACCCGTCTGGAGGTCATTCACTGTAAGAGGCCTGTGGACACTAAAGAGAGCTTAACTCAGAAGAGCCAGTGGCTACAAGGAAGCTCCTGTTGAGCCTCTCGGCAGCGTGCCCTGCACAAATGGAACCGTGGGGAAATTGAGATGATAAATCTGTTGCTGTTGAGCATGCACAAGGCTGTGTCCTCCAAGCCCTGGAAAGGCCCAGACTAACAGATTCCTTGGGATGTAAAAAGGGCTTATTCAAAAGCTTTCAGAATCTCAAGTCTCTGCTTGAACATCTAGAACCTGTAGAAGAAAGCTAGCCAGTTGGGAGGGTTTAATGTACTCCAAACAAAATATAGGTATTTGAAATAGATTAATGTTTTTCATCTGTAATTATTAATAAAAATACCCTCATCTTGAGTTGGTGTATGCTGTGAAACTTTTTAGTTGAAGTGGTTCAAGGTTAGGGCAAAATTACAAGAAAATAAAACCAGAGTCTTGTAATGAGAGATGCCTGGTGACCTTCAGAATGTTTATTATCAGCTTCCCTTGCCAATCTAGTGATGCGTATGCACAAATAAATAATTGCCTATGAATTGGACAGTAGATTGATTATCATCAGGTTTAGGTTTTTTTTTCATTAAAGCTGTATTGCAAATTGATTTTATACATCAGAATAATTTTCTGAAGCTAATTGGACTATTTGTATGCATTGAAATATACTTATTTTAATCTCTGTGATTGTGATCTAACAGCTAGACCAGCTTCAAATTGTAACCTATGACACATTTTCATCAAATGATTTTGTTTAAAAAGAAGTTAGCTTTGGAGATAATGTGAGGAACACAATGAATCATGAGGATGCTGTCATCAGTTTTGATAATTCATTTTATTTAAAAGGAACAAAAAATCAAAAAATGACTCAAAGGTCACTCATCCCAGAATCACCATTACCTAGCCATGTGAAGCCTTGCTGAGTTGTATTTACTGAATTGTTTTATGCAAGATTTAGAAGACTTGGAAAGATGCTAGTATGAAATACATACAGCAGTGCATTCTTTAGATTCTCTCGGCTCCTGGTTGGAAGTGTTATTATTTCTAGAGGTACTTAAGATCTGGCTCCTCAAGGAGACTTGCTTGATGGAGTTTACTTATACATAAGGCTGCTCACATTTCAGTAAGTGTTCTGAAGAACATTATAGGTTTGTCTTTTAATAAAGCACATGAGATAGGGCAATAAGGGCATTTGACAGTGAAAGTTGCTTTGATATTTTAGTAGACCGTAGTAATGTGCAATACTTGTGACCCTGAGGAAGATGTAGGAATAATTAAACAAATGTTACCTACTTTCTGTCCCAACTAGAAAAACATTTGAAAAACTCCTAATGGGACTTACAGTGTAGTTGTTTGTACAGGGTAAAAAGCTGCCAGCTCTCTGTGAAAATACCGAGTTAGTTTCAGATGAGCAGGTCGCAGCTAATTAACTCAGCTGCCCTCATAGTCGTGCTGAAACAGCTGTTCTGCTTTTCAAGTCTCAGCCGTCTGGCTTTGTGTGGCACAGCACCGGGTTCTGCAGCTCTCTGTGGTTTCCAAAGGTCAGTACTGGGGGTGGACATTCCCCTTCCGTCCTGTTCTCATGGAAGACACATGACCATGAGCCAGTTACTCATAAAGAGCTGTGGTGGTATTTGACTAGCAGCTTGCTCGTGTGTCTGCCCAGGAGCAACCCGTGAGAAGAAGGAGTGAGGTAAAACACTCATACAAATGTTTGATGAGCTACAGTATGGTTATGTCCAGAAGAATGAGCTTTTCTCTATGTTATGGACTGCTTTTATATCTCTAGAATGGCCTGAGGATCCTAGGTGAGCGAGTGATAAACACAGTTCAGCTCTGCTGGTTTTTCAGATTTCTTCCAAGACCATTCTTAAAATGAATTTGTGGGTGGTTTGTTGTATTGTTGTTTTTTCAGATTTGAGGTTGCATACGGACCCTGTGACCTTTGGAATTCAAAGGGACAGCCAACAAAATTCTGTTATGATCTTTTCCTTTTGTGAAAGGAAAGCCAGGTAGAGTTGTGTGTGACTTTAGCAGAACACATGACTTTAGGGAAAAAGGTGGTAGCAAACTTAATATATTTACTTTCCATGAGAAGTGATTAGGCATTTTGTTGTGCAGCCTAAGTGGTTATGTTCTGTAGTTTCTGAATGAGCATACATCTCTCTGTATTCCTCAGAAAAAGCATATCACAGTTCAGTCTGAAAAATGGTCCAGTAAGATACATAAGAGGCTTTCTGTTAGGTCTGCTGAAGATAAATTTGTATTGCCTGTGCAAAAGTTGGAGGTGATTGTACTGTAAAAAAACTGCTATAGGAGAGGTCAGTGATATTTCAACATCAGTATAAAATTAGAGAAAGAGAAGGCAGTGGGTAGATATTTCCCACCAGCATGTCTGTAGCAGTGCTTGATGTTACGGCTTTCTTGGTTGCTTGTTATCACCTTTGTTCTGGTGTTTATCATCCACAGAGGTCTGCAGACACTGCAGATCCGATGCACTGCACATCTACTGAGGCATATGAGAGCAATCATGCTCCTTGTCTTTATGTTTGCAGGGATAAGTCTGAAAACATAAACTCGGTGTAAATCAGTGCAGCAAGGTCTGTTGAACCAGTAACTCCATGAGGTATGAACTCCCCCCTTGTCTCAAATAAGGCTCTGTCAATACCTGGGCTGATTTAAGGCTGTGTTGAAGGAATTCTTTCCCCATGGGTGAGAGTGATGCTGAAAGGAGTTGGGTCTGTGAGCTGTTGCCTGAGGAGGGCTTTAGCTGTAGCACCACATTGCTACCAGATGTGTAAGCTTCGCTGATTGAGTTGTTTTGTGATGAATCATTGAAGTTAGAGTTTGAAAGGGAAGATGTTTGCCAGTTCTGGTGTTTGGTGAAATGTGAGTAGCTGTCATTTTCCTCCTGGGCTTTGAGAGCATTTCTTGCATTTGATTTCTTGTAAGTGCAAAGCAAGGTTGTTACATTAAAGACAAGTACATTGCAGGCTGAGTGTTGGTAATGAACTGATGTTGCATCTCAGGAACTTGACTAAGCCTACAAACAATTAGTGACTCCAGATGGGTTCATTATCATTGATTTTATTAAATAAGTGATAATTTCTAACACTTGCAACTGAAGTCCATTCTGAGACAGGGGTGTTTTTTCTGGTGTACTGTGTGTTGTGAAGATAAATAGCAGTTCTGCCTGCAAAAATATTTGTAAAATTGAGGAGAATCTTTTTGATAGTCTCAGAGTTTGGGGCAGAAAATAATGAAAATAACATTTAGTGAAAAGGACTTTAGAACTTTTAATTTATAGCAGTGAAGAGAAACCATTGCCTCAAAAGAATTCACAAATTATTTTTACTAGCAGTCTTTGCCATGCATATTTCTGCTTTTGCATTCACCAGAAACTATTTCTACTGGTCCCAGAGTGTGAGACCTTCAGCTTGAAAGTTTTCCTCTGTCTGGCACATGCACATCTCTTGGTCCCAGTTCTGACTGTTCAATAAAATGCTTTTTATTGATGACAAAAGTATTTGGGTTTAAGCATATTTTCCATTTGAGAATATAAAATATGATTGACACTCACCTGTTCGTTGTGTTGTAATGAAGGTTACACTGGTGTTTAAAAGCCTCACAGGAACTTGCAGTATTGTAGTTCTTTCTAGCTGCCGTGCAGATGGTGATGCTTTCTGTGTTGAGGAGATGGGGACCAGCTATTTAATTGTGCCTTAGCCAGGACTAGTCTATTTTTAATAATGCCTGGTGGGTAATTTTACTAAGCTTTTGGAAGTGCAGTTGAGTACTGAGACTCCTTGCTAAGAGATTGGGCACAGCATGAGAAAGTCTAAGGATGAGATGAGAAGCTGCAGTGGAGACATGAGGCAAGATCTGGCAACTGGCGAGGAGTGAGGCTCAGAACACGACTCTCTTGGGTCCCGTCAAGCACTGCCTTCTCTGAAGAGAGATGGTAATGCTGTGTTGACTAGCAGTCTGTTTGCTCGACAGCGCTGAGTTGCACACGTAGTTCCTTAACTACAGGCTATTTACAGCATGGCTGCAATCACAGACCCTGAATTGTCAGACTGTGGATGACCTGACAGTGTCAAATTACACAATTCCGATCTGTTGCATGATGTGCTCCTGATAGGTTAACACCTGTCTCAAACGTATTTCCTTACCCATTTCTGATGTTTTATCATCTCCCTTCCTTTGCTAATTCTTTTATACCTCATGTGTACAGACAAGAACTGCATTTGGAAAGGTCATAATACCTCTTTAATGGCTCAGCAGATCAATTGCCCACATCTTCTTTTTCATTAATCTTTTCCTGATGACCTGCTTTACTATTGTGGGTTTTTCAGTTCTGAGGGTATCAGCAGTGTAAAAAGAGACCTGATCCATACACCAAAGGGCTTTTGTTGACTCAGGAGCTGGACTTCATCCTTATGGGTCCCTTCCAGTTCAGGATACTTTGTGTTACCAGAAAGCTTTGTCAAGGAAAACAAACAACAGGCCTTCGTAAGAAATGAAGGCAACAGTCCAGAGGTCACCTTGATATATGAGTGTAACGTACAAATGTAGTTGTAATACAGCACGTGAAAATATGTAATACAGCATATTTATTTGTCTATAGGAAGCCCATTCCACCATGAGGAAAGAGTGTGACAGGAAGGGAGTTAAGTGCTTGGTTTCTAGAGATGTCTGGGATAACCCAGGGAAGTGAGAATATAGGAGAGATACACAGTATTATCACAGTAATTACTCCATCTTCATTTTTAACTGAAATAACATCTTGCTTTTTTATTGCCCCAGTACTGGGAGCTAATTGAAGAAAAAAATCAGTCAAAGACAACAACAAAAAAATCAGTGGAACTTTTCAAGTATTTGCTTTTCCTTTTCCTACCATCTGTAGTTACTTTTGCCAGAGGATGTTCTCACTCAGTAATTTTCCAGTGATTTCAAGGTAGCTCTCTTTTTTGTTTCTCTGTTGTTTCTCTGCTATGTGAATTCTTTGCCATTGCTTGCTAAACCCCGATATATTTGATGAAGAGAAAGTGTTAGCAGTTTTTGAGTCCCTAACCCCTTCAAGGTGATTTTCTAGTAATTTTGTTAGCTCCTTACAAATGCTCCCACTTTGCAGATCTGGCTTCTGTAGTCTTCTGGCCATGGCTCCAGAATCATTAATGCTAGGTCACCCAATGATTCAAATCTGGTCTGGGTCAGGTATGGGTGCATGATCATATTTCTGCTGAACTATTTGGAAAAACAGGAGTTTATGGGTTTTGTTTTTTTCCCCTTTGTTCTGGGAAGACTGGCAACACCTGTTTAGAATAAAACAACATTTTTATCTGGAGTTATTTACTGTGCTGTGA